ACATTAAAGAAAATACAAGATTTCCCAACTTTTCCCATTTTCATTTTGCATGCCTGTAGCAGGGGTGGGGATGGGGTGGGATGGAGGTTGAGGTGGGGTCACCTACCCCACTTTCTTCTAAACATAACTATTTGCTGTTGAAAATGTTCATTGAAAGGCCCCCTTTTTCTTGCAATATATAATATAGTAGTATTGTCAAGTATAGGTCTAATGTATAGTAGTGTATGAATAGACGTTGGTCATTCAAATAAAAAAAAGCTGCATGTTCTTAAATAGTAGGCTATCAAAATAAAAAGAATTTAGAGTTTGAAAAACTTTGTTTTATTTTCTGTTCAATTTTTATTTTCGGGTATTAAAAATGATAATAATCACTTACATTCATATTTCAGTATGCTGAAAGCGAATCTATCCCTCCCTAGCTATCCCTTCCATATAATCGATTTGTTAATGGTTTATCTTTATACAGTGTTTCATGTAAAAGCATTCGAAAATAGAAATACATGTACTACATATGTATACAATAACATCACATAAAAAGAGAAGTCAATGCAACACAACCCTCATGCAGACTGAAAATCCTGCAGACTGAAAATCCTTGATTGTTCTTCTACAAAGGCCTTTTTTTTTTTTTTGATTTTTAAGACAAGCAACTGTTTTTAATACAAATCATTCTACATGCAGGCTATAAAACATTTTCGATGAATACGGGCTGTATACTCAGTATATTGATGCTTCTCTATATCAATTTAACCTCTGCTGTGTGTCTAAGGTAAGAAAAAAAAAGGTTGGTGTGTTATAATATTTAATTTGATCATTTGAAATTAAAGTTATAGCAACCAATTTTGCATTTAAATACAAATTTATTGTAGAACAGTTAATTGGGGTTTTGAGTAAAAGACATCGATAACACTTGCATTATCAATTATTGGATACAACAAGACATAGTAATTTTAGCTGCTAAACTGAGAAGTATTACTCAATAAATTATCTGAATACTGGTATCTTTATAAATTAGACGGCAACACGTATGCTTATTTCTAGAAGATGCTGCACAAAATAACTCCATTTATGAAAATGACGGATACAAATAAATTACTTCAAAAAAATAATGAGGAAATATATCACAATAAATTAAGAAGGGGGGGGGTATATAATACCCATTTTAAATTATTGAAATTGCATTCAGTTAAAATCAATGCTTTTACAATGATGTCGGGGGTCATATGTACCTAGATCACTTTTTTCTGATGCAGATTCAGAAAATTAACGTCCGAGTGAGAAAAACTACCCTATACTTAGAAACCATTTGTTATGAATTCATAATGTCTGCAGTGTATAAAGTCAATATAATTTCGCACTTTACAAGTACGCACTTCACATCTTTAAAAATGTACATATATAATCTGATGTGTGATAAATATATCTTCATAGTTTTTACATCAATACAGTTTTAAACTTATGTTGATGAATTCCATTGCTTTTTCTCGTAGTTCAACTTGGTGACTTGAATTGAAAACAATCATAGCAAACTGCCAAAAACATTATGTTCAACGAGATCGAATTTACGATATTTTTTTCGGAAAGAAGTAAAACCTATATCAACAATTAATTTACAAATCGATTGACTTTAAAATCTTACAAAGAATAACTTATTATATTGAAAGAATTAAAATTTACTGAAAATTACAGTTTTCAATCATCAAAGCAATCATACATATGTGCGAAGAGAATTTCCATATTTGGTGAAATAGCGTAAATTATTAAAATATTTTATAATTAAAGTCTGAAAATTGGAAGAGTGGGCAATTTAATAAAAAATATTTCTTCAAATGGGGCACAATATGCGGTGAATTTAGCGAAATTCTGAATAATGTGCCACTGCCGATCGTGTTGTGTTTACTTCTCCACAGGACAAACAATGTCAAATACCAGACACGAAAAATCCCAAAAAATTACTAATTTAAGCCTAGTTAAGTTAAATAAATTGCTGATTTGTGTGCTTAACACTCAAAACTTCTGTTCTCTCCTATTTTTTACAATAAAAATTATTCAATAAATCAAGAAATTAATAAAATATTTCGAACAACAAAGTCGAGGGTTATGAGAAAAAATGGCGGAGCTTCAGTTTTTGTGTTTTCTACGGTGTTTTCAACATGAGTTTATACATCGTATTTCTGTGTTGTAGGTCTAGATATTGCAGAGTATGATAGAATAATGATGGGTAATTCAATTTAATAATTAAAATCTACTCGATTCAGTCATAATTTTTAAACGTTTATCTTCAAACTAGCGCAAAGTGGTATTGCAAGTCAAAATTTTCTCGTTTCGATTCGATTTTCTGTTTATTTTCGGGGTGTCACTGTAAAATAATATATTTATTTTGTAGGCAAAACATCTAACTTTCGATTAACGTTCATCAAAATTAAATTGCTTTTTGAATAATAGGTTAAATAGGCCATATACTGAGGCAAGAAACACAAATATAGAAACACGGCAGACATTTTCTTGAATTCAAGCTCGCACTGTTGGGTGCCTTCTCAGACGTCCGCGCTCGATCTATATAAAGAGCACAGATCGACACGGCGTCATTACACGAATTTTCTCTGTGTTGGAAAGACGTACGATATCTCGTAACTCAAAAAACAACAATGTCTAATGCTGACGTCGCTACACCAAAGGCAAAGAAGGCTGCCAAGCCCAAGAAGCCTGCAACTCATCCAAAATACTCCGACATGATCAAGGCAGCACTTACAGCTCTGAAAGAGAAGGGAGGATCCTCAAGACAGGCCATTCTGAAGTACATTGTCGCCAACAACAAAGTTGATGCTGAGGCCGCTAGCCGTCATTTGAGAATGGCCCTCAGGGCTGGAGTGAAGAACGGAAGTCTGAAGCAGTCCAAGGGAACTGGAGCCTCGGGATCCTTCAAGCTGGGAGAAAAAGCCGCCAAGGCACCCAAAGCCAAGAAAGCAGTAAAGCCCAAGAAAGCCGCCGTTAAGAAACCCAAGAAGGCTGCAGCAAAGAAACCCGCAGGAGAGAAGAAGGCCGCAAAACCTAAAGCAAAGAAGGCAAAGTCTCCCAAGAAACCCAAGGCTGCTGGTGAGAAGAAACCAAAGAAGGCCGCCAAATCTCCAGCCAAGAAGAAGGCAGCCGCTAAACCTAAAGCCAAGAAAGCAGCAAAGCCTAAGAAGGCCGCGGCCAAGAAGTGAACGTGCTAAGCCGACTTGTGGACTATTTATTTTGTACATATGTACAGGGACTTCTCATTTCTAGACGCTAGTTGATGTGTCACAATTTCATATTCATTGGACTTCAGATGGCAGCAATTCATGTTCATAATGTGCTAAAGGTGTGTGAAAGTATAATGTAAGAGATGAATGGAAGTGCTCATTTTATCATATTCATGTTCATTGTTTCATCTTACATCTGTTAACAGAAAATGTTCTTTTTCACTCTATGAGTGTGTATATATTCATTTTTATGTGCAAAAAGGAAAAAAATCTTGTATAAAAATTTAAAAAGTTGTAATAATGTCTTGTTATTTATTGCTTAGTTTACCCAAGAACTGTTTGATGTTCTGTTTAAGGGGGATGTACAAGCCATATTTGATCAAGTCTGGTGTAAAATAAGAAATACCAAGACTGCTCTTAATACTCTACCAAACTAGCCCAAAGTTACTCAAAGTGCTAATGTACTCATAACCTACTGTTAGAGACCAAAATTAGTAAATAATAAAGTTTATTTTATTTTAATTAGAAGGAAATTAATCAGGTTAGAACTGCGCAGCTACAGCATTCACGAGATGATAAATGCATCGAAAATGATGTCAGTTCGGTTCATTGATAATATGGCTACAACCATTTGTTTCGCTTTTTTCTTGTTATTATCCATAATTCTTGTAAATTTCATTTTTCATATGGGGGTCTTCTTGAGGTCATATGTTTATTGCGTCCACCATTCCTCTGTCACACAGAGTTAAAAAAAACATTGAATTTAGAATAAATGCGACCATAACAACATCAAAACAAGAGATTACTAAGTAATAATCCTAAGGTTATATAACTTACTACTTTTATTTGTTGCATCGCACCGTCTGATTAATGAAAAAATGCAATTTTAACCCCAAACCAGCAAATCGGGAAAAACTGTTCTGTTTAAAGCTCGAGTTTCCTCGCTCATATTATTCCACTGAGCACGTGGTTGGCATGTGCATATATCTAATGTGAATAGATTCGTTTATTACCATGATTATATTTAATTTTTCATGGAACAAGTCTTTATAATTTGTTGGTTTCTCCAAAACTCAAGAAAAAAGATTAAAAATGTCCTAAACATATGTGTTTACGGCCGGTCTCTTTTCTTTGGCGATAGAAGTTATTTTCAAATGGGGCTCTGCAAGGAGGATGCTTAGCTTTTAATTTGAAAATGTTAAACGATATGCCTTGCATGAAAAACAAATTGTATTAAATGTATTTACATTCGAAAAGTCGGTACACCTGTCAATGTTTTTTAACAGTTAGATAGAAAAAAAAGTCAGTTATAGGATTTCCTTCAGACACCTCTCATAAATAGCTAGATTGTTTGCGATGACCCACACATTGTATGGAGTAATGTTTGGACATAAAAACACATCACGTCTCATTATGTTGACCATGTTGTAAGCTCTCATTAACATACGAAGTTTGGGAAAATACATTGAGTTGTTTGTTTGAAATTTAGAGCACAATGTTTACAAAGAAAGGTTCATTGCATTATGATATGCCTATCTTCGCAAAAAAAAGCGTGAGAGGCTACCCCCCCCCCCCCGAAAACCCTATGTTTGTTTTTCAGAATAGTGCCAATGCTTCAGAAATTTTGCATTACTTAGTATGTGATGGAACATGTACTATAGCCGTACATTGTTAAGACCACGTTTTATAAAAATATTTGGTTGCCCTTTCTCCCGACCTACTTCCAGAAATGACCCGACTCAATTGTTTTTTTTTTTTACATTCCATTACAAGATATTTTTTCCTTTTTTTTCGTCAACAAATATGTTTAAATTTTGAGGAAGATTTTTTTTTCTCACCTATAAATACGGACCCAATAATTTTCCCCTGAGTTGGGAGGACCATCAAGCGTCATTTTAAAGATGGTCTAAAATAATTAATCATGTTGATTTTTTTTTCTTTACTCTGTAAAATTGTAATTTTGACAATATGGGCAAATAGAAAAAAAGTATTTTTCATTCAGTAAATCTCCTAACCCACGCTGAATGATTTCATTCCTATTCAAATGGTACTTCGATGCATGTGAATAAATTTGTAAATGTTTTTTGACACAGTATACTAGTAGGTACTAAAACAAGGTCATTCATATCGATTTTGTGTTTAGAAGGAATATAGGGAGATAACAAACAGTATTCAGTCTCAAAGTCCATAAAACAATACAAAATAAGAACAGAGCAAACACGGACCCCGAAACATCAGAGGTGGGATCAGGTGCTATGGAGGAGTGAGCATCCCATGCCGACCGGTCCAATTTTCTCTGTGTTTCATTTGATAGATAAGATAAGTTATCTGTGGCAGACGTTTCAAATTTGATGGCGCTCATTTTTTCCTTATCTGGAATTATGCAAAGAGTTTAAGAGTTTTTTTTTTATACCAACAAGTTTTTAACAACTGTTCGATAATAATACTAATTATTTAAGCCACACTATAACACATTTCCTCTTTTAAAAGTGTGCTTATCATTTGAAACATTTTGCAACTGTAATTCTCTTCTACTTTTTAAGGTTATTATGTGCCTCCGTATTAAGAAGAGGTCTGGAAAACAAAATTCTGTGCTAAAAATAGACCACGTGCTGCTATCCATGAACTACTTTCATGGTTTTTTACACTCATTTTGAAGACAACAGTACCATGTTTTGAACTTGAAATTACCATTGAAAAGTGCAAAATTTAGACATTTTCTCAACAAATGGTTGTAGAGAGAATATTAATGCACGCTTTGCATATTTTTTTGGATTTTTTAAGGCTCTGCTGAATTCTGTAGCTGCGCAGTTCTAAAGAGCATATCAAAAGCATTTTTCTGCATGAGTATAGATTATACATGCACAATATGCATTCAGTTATGCATATTTATTGTATCTTTATCATTAGGACTTAAAATTTGATCAAAATATAATGTATTTTAGCCATTTGAAGAAATGTTTACATTTTGTTCTTACTGCACTAAAGGTGGCCGGACATCCCCCTTAAGATGTGGCATCACTAATAAGTGATAACAGAACATGTAAATAAGTTCTTGCTGAAACTGAGCACGTAGATAGATTAAGAAAGTTGATGCAAAGTGATTTCTGGATGAAAAGTGTGCATTTACTGAGTTTGCCTTTTATGAAAAAAAAGAACGGGAAAGGGAAGCTCATGCCACATGCATGGATCTAGAGTCCCCCCTCCCATACACACACCACAAGGAATTTTGAGTAATTCAATGTATTAACAGATTACAGAGACTTTGCCCCCCCCCCCCTTGAAAAAGGCAAACCCTTCCTCAAAAAGGTGGATCTTTGTAAAAAGAGTATGAAGTTTAATAGTCAAATACTAACAGCCCCTCCCTGAAATATGTTTTTAACACTTGGAAAATGAATGGGGTTTTTTAGCTTGTCAAATTTCTGGGTTGGAAAATTTCTTTTTTGGCTGGGATCCCCCTAGTAACAATTCATGGATCCGCGCCTCTGTCATTTTATGGTCAAGTACTCTCAACTGACTAAAATTTTAAAAATCTTAAATTTGTTATTATAGTAAACTGAAATCCGAAAAACATCAGAATTGATTGCAATGAGTTGCAAAAAGAGATGAAAAAAATGTCTTGTTATTTAGGTGGAATAAGTTTTCGCTTGATTTTTTATTTGTAACATTGATTTATTTTATTCTTTTCAACGCTTGTGCTATTCTCATATTTTTAAAAGATGGGGTATAATTTGTAAACTTTATCAAAATTGTGTATTTTATGGAAACTAAAGGCACTTGAAAAGGGGGAGTTAATCACGCCACCCTTAAAATACAAGAAATCTTTAACTTAAAATTATGTATCTGATTAATAAATTGTGGGTATATTATAGCCACATTTTATTCAACGGATAAATATTGTTTATATTCAAGTATTTTATTCATTTGGAAACAATGTTAGAAAATACTAAAAATTGACTTAGAGATCAAAATATTAACCACAATCATATTTAAAGCATTTTCTGATGTAAAATTGCTGCATTTGTTTTTCTCTCTCAGGCATTTCGGGCAATTTACGCATACAGTTTAATATTACTTGCATGACTTCTTTGTCATTATTGTACAATATATTGTAACTTCTTGTAGGGTAGCTTTTATAAAGTTTTTTTTTGATCAATTTTTCAAAGCCCCCCCCCCCCCCCCCCCACACACACACACACTTACACGCACTCAAAATGACAAGAGCATCATGAAAATTTTATTTCAGGGTTAGGGGATTTTTTTTCTCTTGCTACTTTATAGTAGCCTATATTTTTATAAGCATTTTGCCTGTATCAATTGCCTAACTGCAGCAAAAAAAAAAAAAAAAAATGTTGAGGTGGGGACTCCCTTCACCCCTCCCCGCGTACTACTACTACTAAGGGTGTCGGTGCCTAAAATATTTTTAAATGGCCTATGATTGATTTTCGACTCTACATTTTCAAGAAAGTGAATTATTGACTGAATTGTGTTTTCACCATTCTATTTATAAACATGATTAAAATCATGTATGCCGACATGGTAATTGTCAATAAAGTGAATTGAATTGAAAATCAAATGAAAGTTAATTTAATACATCAATACATGTTCTCAGGTATGCAAAAAAGTAAATATTTTTCACTGTTTGGCAAAATTTCACGGATCGTAAGCACTCGGTCGTTTCCGTCAGTTTCCGTCGAAGCGAGACGAACAGAAGCGGGTTCGTCATTCAAGTTATTACAACATCCGGGTATTGGGCAAGAATGGAATATAGGTCATGCCCCTAATTTTTTGTCAACAACAAACGTAAACTTTCTCCTTTTAAATACAGAATCAGACATGGCGTCGATGAGGACGTTTGGTTTGAGATATATGCCTGTAAGTAATTCTGTCATTGCAAGCATCTCCGATTTCGAGAGATATGTGAATTTTTTTTTGTAGTCAGGAACAGTGTGTAACCCAACTTCACATTTTTTAACAGGGTGAACCCCCAGGAACTACCCGATTGCTAAGAGTAAAAGTGTTGAATGGCCTCAATTTGGCTAAGAAAGACATTTTTGGAGCAAGGTAACGTAGTAATTTACCATGTACTAATCAGAAAATCCAATACATAATTTTCAAACACGTTCGAATTTCCTCGTCACATGTCAATGCTGCCTTGTCTCAGTTTAGTTCTTCATTTATCAGGTTTTAAACGATGACGAATATTCAGATTGGAGATATACACAGCAACTTAAATTTATACAGTATGACCAATATGTTTAAGCTTATAGGGTTTGACCGTTGGGGCTAGGGCTATCCTAT